TTTTTGCCTTTTTTACTCTAATTGAAATCTCTGATTCCGACAAAAAGACAAACGACTTTATCGAATGGGCTAAGAAGATGGATCGAGGATGTTATAGCGGCCCTTTTAATACTAAGATGTTTGGAAACAAATTAGATGATTGCAAGAAACAATTTTACAGAGACATATGGTGTGGCTACGCGGTTACTGCTGTCGTCCATATGGAGTTGACAGAAACAATTTTGGTGAACGAGAATGAACGAGAATTATTAAGTGCGACTGAAAAGAACCTTCTTACATTTACAAACGAAGCTAGTCTAATGTTAACCGTTGGATTAAACGAGGACCACAAAGACAGCCGGCATATTGTCATTGCGGAATTAATGTGGATCTTTTGTATGTACACTCAACTTGTAAGTGATTTCTTACTGCTCGACCCTGTAAAAGGAACCGACAAAGCCGTGGTTAAAGCTCATTACGCCGTAGTACAATTGTTCAAGGAGTTTATAAAAACACAGAAATGCCAAGTGTTCCATCCAACTACTCATAGAAAAGTATCCGACGTTGGACAATTATTAGTCGAAAACAAATCCTTACATGACGTTAGTAAAACAGTGGTACTAACGCGGGTATTTAATAACAAGCAAAGAATTAATAAACAGATTAAACAGAACTACGAATTAGACCAAAGATTTGGCAGAGGACTAGGTGAGATTTGTTTTTTACATTATTCTTTGAGAAATTTGCTGTTGAACCATCTGTTGGAATACTCCAACTATAGTAAAATTGAAAACTTAGAAATATTTGGTATTCAGTTGAGCTTAAATCCAATAGCGGATAAATTTAATAAACATTACCTACTCAGTATCGACTATACTAACCCACTGTCCGTGCGAATCGAATCGCTAATTAATTTTCAGAACAACATTATGCATTTGATGAAGGTGATCGTTATTCGACTCATCATGAGATACATGTTGACCATCAATCGAATGGATGACTCAACATTAGATGATTTTGTGCGTAACCATGTCAAACTGTGCAATGACAAAATGGTCAAACATTTTAACTCGATTGCTAAACTTCTTAATATAACTGAAGACGAATACTTGTATTCGGCAATCGGTTTGATGGGAAATCCACCTGAAAATTTCTCTGATCGCAGTGTTATCGATGAGTATGTGAAAAAATTGAGAACATCATTGACAAATATGGCGTTAGACGATATTGATTTCAACACGTCGATGGACGTAGATGAAGGAAACAGTAGTTCGACTATGGAGAATGTAAAAAAATTCACGAAACTGTTAAGATTGGCCACACCTAAAGAAACCACCGTGTGTTCAGTAAAAGAAAACCTATTATGCGCAAAAGTGTTGGTAAATTACATAAAGAGTAAGTGGTTAAACGGGGTCGATATGATTGCAGTGAAGTCATTCACAATCCTCGAAAATTCTGAGAGTTATAATCGCTTAAAAAAACTGGAAATTGGTGATTTAGAAGATCCGATAGTTGCATAAGTGTTTCACTACTAAGTTTGATTTCTTTAACGTTTGTTTTATGTGAATAACAATGTATTTTTTGATAAAGCTATAATTACATAGGACATTGGGATTAAGGAATATTATAGAATAAGTTTGGGCTTTTAAAACTATTTACAAACATTTTACGGGAATTTGATAAATAAAATATTATTATTATAAAAATGGTGTGTCTTTATTTCCTGTTTTACAATTACATAGGGCATTGGTATTTAAAAAATATTATAGAATAAGTTTGGGTTTTTGCATTTATTTTTTGGGAATTAAATAAATAAAAAAATAAGTATTATAATTAAAAAAATGGTGTATCTTATTTTTCTGCATTACCTTATTCCATACTAATACCTTTGTACAAAAAATAATATGGTCTAATCTACATACCACAAATGCTTCCAGCTTCTCTGATATTTTAACCAGGTATTGACCCGTTATGATTAGAATTAAGGCGTAAGGTTCCATCTCACAGGGACGCCATATTGAGGTTTGTAGCATATGTTTTTTTTTTACAGTAAAATATTTTGTTAATTTGCACCATATTATAATATATTGTTGGTATTAGATGAATGCATCTAAAATGTTGATTGTTAATAAAAAATACTATACAGATAAGTTATTTAGCTACTGCTAAATTGTTTATGTAAATGCTTCGTGGATATGTCAATTAGACATTGACTCGATATGGTTAGTATAAATACGTAAGATTTAATGGAAATTTTAAGTTGGGATTATGGCAATGAGTTCCATCTTACAGGGACGCCTGCTGATTGAGGTTTGAAGCATTTGTTTCATTATTTTGTTTTTTGGCAATATAATATTTTGTAATTCGTACCATATAATACATTGTTGGTATTAGATTAATGTGTTAATAATTATAATTAAAAACAAAAAGCGCAATCCGCCTAACCTAAAATATCGGATTCATTCTTCTACTTAAAGCTGAGAAATTCTACTAAAAGGTGTGTGCAGGTATAGGTTTACGTCTCAGTAAGGCAAGACAATTTTTTTTTTAACTTCGGCGACTTAAAAATATTATAGCTAGGTCGATGTTAAAACTACAAAACAACACATCAAAATATGTTTTCTTATTATTTTCTTATTTTAATAAAAAACACTGCTTAAAAAGTGTTTTCAATACGTTCATAGTATATTTACTACTATTTAGAAAAATAATAATAATGATAAAACCATATAATATTTTCTAAACGGTTAGTTTAGTTTAATAGTTAGTTCAGATAAAACAAACTTATTAGGAAGTTATCAATAAAAGGAACGTTTTTTTACTGTTTGTAAATAAATTACTATTTTTTCGCAATAATGATTTTTAAAAATACAACTGTACTAATGTTAAAGGATTACTATATAACCTAACGGGAGACGTATCCTTCTGATTTTTCCCAATTATTTTTCTACATTTATTATATGTCTATGCAAATTCGGGTGACAGGATCATTGTTTGTAATAATTTCAATAGATTAAATCCTAATTTATCTCATTTAATTATTATACAGAGATTTAATGTTCATATGTTGAGTCACTAAATAAAAAATAATGTAGAATATATTTAGTGAGAGAGCCTGAGTTGAGTGGAGAAAAATAACATGGCTGGCCAAACACATTAAATACGATTTATATAAGTATAATTATTCAGGGTACAAAAATTAACCGTACATATTTTAAATTGAAAAGTACGTTGATTTCAAATTATTTTTCAACATATTTTTGTGTATTAAATTTTCTAAAATTGTTAATGGGCTTGTGTATTGATTTAGCGAAGTGTTTTTGTGGCCTATAACTCATTTGTTATTCACATCGAACGAAACTAAAAAATTGTACATAGACCATTGCTAAGTACTTTTCTGCGTATGACTTCCATGTTACTTCATATAGATGCGAATTCATGGTAAATAAGACACAAAGTAAAAACTACCGACCGTGTGTGGATTACACACTTGTCGTTTATTGCAGTATACTAGCGCATTTCATACGACGAAAGTTTAGAAAATAATAATGTTGTTTATGTTTTGGATATATTTCTTACTTGCTGCAATCGTGCATGCAAACAGCTTACTGTTTGAACAAGCATACAAAACATCATATCAAAATATGTTTTCTTCTTATTTCAATAAACAACACAACTTAAAACGTGTTTTCAATACTTTTCTGTGTAAAAAAAGAAAAAACAATGATAAAAAACCATATAATATTTTCAAAAGCTTCTAAATGCTAAAAATAGCAAAATTATTAGCAATATAGAAATTGACTACGGATTTCCCCCCTTTTTTTTTGAAGTTTTCCTTAATAAAAAAGTTTGACTACAGAATTTTTATAAAATTGTGTATGTTATAGTTCCAAACTTTAGACTAATTTCCAGACCTTAAGCCCTAAATTATTTTTATGCGATCTAATAAAACTACTCGTCTTTGTAGTAACGATTGAAAATATTAAGAAATACAGTAAAAAAATCAAATCTTTGTAAAGTCATAAAAAATGAAAATAAAAAATTTTAACGCCGGGCTTAGTTAGTACTTGGATGGGGGTGACCTCTTGGTATATCTTTCACAATGAAGGTGGTTTCCTTTGTCATATCTTTCACAAGAAATGTCCTTAATTGAACACTAAGTCGTAAAAGTGGGGGGGGGGGGGGGCTGGCATACCTTTTTGCATTTTTTTTCCAAATATTTTTGTTCTTTACCGTATAAATTTTTTTTTTGTTCTTAGCCGAATGGCTGAGAACTGGGAAGCAACGGATATCGATTTTTAAGCTGATAAGAATATCTGAAAAAAAATTGCTCGTTACCAAACATATTGTAGCTATACTAGGCGTCGATTACTCGAGGTATTATTTAAAAGATTATACATCAACATTTTTGAAAATTTTAAATTACAAAATTATACCTAATACATACCATAGATAAAAATTGTTGTTAAACAATTTTGTTAGTAATTTTTGTTTAAAAATGTATTTTTTTTTTTTTTAATTTAAGATTTTTTATATAAACTGTTTTATAAATAACGTTTAAAACGCGTTTTTTCTTTTACTAAGTATTTTAAATGTTATTTAATATCCAGAACATGGCGGTTAGATTCAAGTTAAAAAAAAAATCGATTTTTTATAAATGATCCTAGCCTTGCATGGCTGATGGCATCTCTAACCCTAACTCTGCTCTCATTCTTAATTCTTGCGTTGTTCTTGAAATTAATGCGACAATATCTTTCATCTCGAGCTCTGGTTACATTTTATAGTAATTTTTTTTTCATTATCTATTCTATCTATTTGTTTTTTTTCTTCACTTATCTAACTGTATATTTTGTTGCTTATACTAAATCAAGCACTAGAAAAATGTCTAGAATTAACAAACCAGTCATATAAAAAAAATGTTTTTTCAATAAAGACACAATAAAAAAAAAAAAAGATTACTCATCAGAGATCTAGCATAGCCATAACGTGCTAAAGTGAGCAATAATAACAACAAAACAAAATAAATTTGAATAAATATATTATAAAATGTATAAATCTTTGTTTGTGTTTCAATAAACGTATCTGTATCAGGTATAATTTCTTTAGACTATTATTTGTTACGATTAAAGATATCGGTAAAAAACATATTTAGTGACGATAATATTACAATATTTTAAACTATACAGTACTTCCTAATATTAAATAACAATAAATATATATTTTTTTTTTGCTTTATACAATATAATTAATTTAACGAGGAAGCTCATACAAGAAATGGAGGTCGTTGGATAAAAACAGAAGACGTATCATTTTTTGTAAAAATCTTGAATGGTAATTTTACATAAAAACGTCACTTACGTTTCTTTTCATAACTTTTAGTCTTTGATATTAATTAGCTTAAATTGGATTACACGCAACAAGTAACAACAATTGCATCGCTTTTCACGTTGTACAGTGAACCTAAGTGGAGCGATTCAATGTAGTATCCACGTCGGTTTGCGTGGTGCTGAGATTTAATTTTTGTTTCGCACTCGATAACACTTTAATAACTTCTTCCGTTACTTTGTCCACGTCTACGCGGTTAAACGTCAACAGCCATGATACGTCGTCGTCAAAGTTGAAAGAAAGTTTATCTTCGTTTTTCTCCTGTTGGAATACGACGACACACAATTATTTAAGATTATTTAATATTATGATGTTGCTCAAGTGATTACGAAAAAACAAAAATAATCTCTCACAATATGACTCAGTTTGTTCATTAGCTGTACGTGGCTAATCGTAGGAAAACTCTCTTCGTACGGAAACAACCACGAACACTCGCCGGCCAATATTACCAATTCGTATTCGGTGACGACTACACCGGGCAGATCAATTATTTCCACGAGACCTTTTCAAGGAAAACAATTGACAATAAAAAAAAAATCTTATGTTTAGAGTACATGTAGCTCTCGCAGCGGATTGTTTACCATTGTCAGACACAATTGTAGCACTCTCGCAGATCGCAACGTGGATTATTGGCAAGTGTAATTCGCTTTTATAAAGTAGATTGTTAACGTACAGATAGCAATTAGTGTTGGGCGATAATACTAACACTTCACGTTGCTCGAACGGCTTTATCCCTAGAAAACGAGCATTATTTTAATTACAAATTAATTTAACTGATTAAAATACAAAATATGTATTTCAAGTTTGATATAAACACCACGCTGTACTCACGTTCTAGAAATGCGATTAATCGTATTGTGATGTGCGGTACGTACAGCACAAAGGTATATTTTATATCGGCGTCCGGCTGTCCGACACATATGATCAGACCCACGTTCCACGGCAACGTCGCTATTGTTTTCACCAAGCTCAGACGATGACTTGATATTTTCTGTAAGCTGTTTTTACAATAACACAACGTTGTTACGACACCTTAAAAAAAAATAAAACATACTGACAAGTGTTTTGCTTACAGTTCTTCAGGTCGACCGATGAATTTGAATATGTACAAAGACCGATTCGATATGACAATACATCCGTCGAACTTCTGATCTGGGTTCATCATTACGCAATTACACTGTTAGGTACGATAAAAAATATATTAAAATTTAAGTTAAATTGTTTATCAAATTTTATTCAATTATTGTTATTGCTCAAACTCACGTGAAATACGAGTACGACTTCTTCTCTGTTTCGAAAAAATTTCTGTTGAACGTACGATTTAAGCCGTTGATCGATGCAAGCAAAATCGTCAAAGGAAAATTGAATAGGTTTTTCCAACAAAGATGGTACCTTCAGATCGGAGTTGCTTAACGTGTCTATACAAGAAGGTTGACAAATATATATATATATATAACTCTCAAAATACAAGTGTTATCACTATAGAAATATTCTTAAGAGTTTCCTTACCTTTTGACGCGGACGAACTAGTTGTTTGGAGTTTACGACTTTCATAAGCAGTACACACACTGTCCGTCATCGATCCTAATATTAATATTAATTATTATTATTAATTAGTACACATTTCGTAAATGCCACACTCATCAGGTATAAACAATGTTATCAATGTAGATTTTTGGCAAAAATTTAAAAAAAATTTATAAGAGATTAGCAAAGAAAATATTATTACAACAAGACGTGGTATGGCTTAATCATATTTTGTTAAGTGATTAATAACAGTAATTAGTATAAATTACTTTCAGCATGTACGGCTATTAATACTTACATGAAACTTAACTAGACACAACACAAAAAAATAGTATATTATAAATTACGCTTTCAAAAAAATATTTACCCGAAGAACTGCTTTCGGTCAACGCTGTCCGAACATCGGGAGGTAATTGGATTTTGTCCGTTTTACAGTCGGTGCTTATGTTTGTGCTATGTACAGAAAAAAAACAGGTAAAAAGAGGTAAAAAAAAAGAAAAATTATTATACAAAACCTCGATATAACTTCTAACACTTCAACAGATTTCTCACTGGGGTTGCTTATTATTTCCACGTCACTATCGTTTCTACTGAGTTTTCTTTGTTCCGGTTCTTCGGAACCTAAAACGTAAACAAAAAATATACTTACAATTAAATTAAATACTTTAAATTCTACGCAGGAGTTGTATGTTGCGCTATAAATCAAATGACGACAGTTAAAAATACATAAAAAATATTATGTTACTCAAATTCAATGTCTAAAATGTTTGTTTCTTGGGTAGGCTTTGTTTTGGTTTCATTCGTATTTGTGACCTACTGAATATCGTGAGCGTGCGTGAAAAAGGGGTTAAGTCAACAACTATAAACTTTTCAAGAAATGGAAAACTAAAAACAAGTTTCAGAAGAACATGTTAGGTCGTGAATTAGGAAAGGCTGTATATATTTTTTGAATATAGTAATAAAAAACCACCTTATTTTTCTACTTAGCTGTATAAATTTCAATTCATAAATATCAAAATAGCTGTTATAAATTAAAAAAAAAAAAAAGACAAAATATGTTATTCAGTTGAATTTACTCTTTCTGTTTTTAAATAAAATGGCTGTCATTTTAATATTTTAGTATTTTAATACATTTAATGCTTTTTAATATTTATAATAATGTCACACTAATATCAATATTAAAAACAATTTTATCACTAAAAAAACGGTTCAAAACGATTAAGCCAGTATAAAAAAAAAATGACGGAACTTTTATCGCACTATTAAATTCTAAATTCAAAAACATTTAAGTTAACTTTATCACAAAATACACAGCCCAAATAAGAGTTTTTTTTTTAGAATTTTTCGATGTACATAACTCATTTTGCACAAAATGTTGACTTAACCGCTTAACCCTAAGAAAAAAATGGGGAAGGGGGACGATTTGTCCATCGTAACTCACTTCATCCATCCTCGATAGGTTTACATACCAGATCTCGAATTCATTGGCGTTCCGTCCAAATAATTTTCATCGTCGGTCAAATTAGTTTCAGCTTCTTGCGTTGTCTCTTCCGGTGCGTAAGATGTAGACGGCAGTGGTTCGTCTTCCACTTGTACAACAATAGAGCTGTTACAACTCGGGCAACGGTTTTTTCTTTTATCTCCTAGACAAAAAATATCAACGAGTTGATCATTTTAAAATGTTTTTCGCATAACAATAAAGCGACAAAATTGAATAATCGACAAAACAAGAACACGTCTCCTTTAATTATTAAGATTGTTCTATAAATATTGATAAATTACTCACTAAATACACTTCGATTGCTCTCTTGACAAAACATTGTAGTACATTTCATACACTTGAATACACTTTGATTCATTTCACTAAGAGTTCTCGATTCTAATTCGACGCAAATAAGATTTACAAATGCCTAAAAAAAAAAAATTTTACAATAATAATAATTTATTATTATATTTACAAAACATCTGACGGTTGCATGAAAAATTATTTCTATGCAATTGCAATTTAAATAAAATAAAAACATAGTATTTGCATTTCATACCAAACCAACCTTATCTTTTCACTATTAAATATGCAAAATTTAGATTTTATAGCAGTCGTCTTTTTTCGTTTTACTCACATTAGCGTCTTCGTTGTTCATAATGTAAATCCTTTGGTTTTTATCCCTTCGTACGGTCATAAAATTTATTTGAATTTTAATGGGATCGAAACAAATTTTCACGCAACTTTCGATCGAATCTCGACTCCACGACGTAAACAGACGACCGTCGATACAACTCCTCTCTTTTAACTCCCTGTAATTAATCGTTCGACAACAATTATTACAATATATTTTAAAAACAGAATTGCAATAGGTAAAACTTACTTTTCTGTTAGACATAACAATATATTCAGCGGTTCTTCTTTATTACGATTGACAATTTGTGCACGCCATATCGTTTCTAAAGTATATAGAAATAATAATGTTTTCTTTTAGAGCCGTTTGCACTGTTTACTTGTCTTTGAATTGTAAATAACGACGACAACTTACCCGATTGCTTTAACCTGTCGTCGTTGTCGTCTGTCAATAACGACACCTTGTCTATAGAACTCGTTTTTGAAGTGTCTACGTCTTCGAATGGGTTTAACCCTGAGAAATCATTATTGGCGATTGAATCGGACGTCACGTTGAGCATTGAATCATCAACAATCGTTTCTGTCATGTCATCTGCATCGGTAAGTGGTTTACAATTGTCTTGTGTATTTTCTACTTCCTAATTAGTTTGGTTGAAAAATAAAGTTATTGCATCAAAAGTATATAAATATAAAAAAAATTTATCCATACGGCGTTCGGAAGTATTAGCGGCTCTCTTTCCGACTGTTGTTTAATGCCCAAAATACCTTGAACGTAACTTCCAGCGTGACTGTGTAACCAGTTGTTTTCTCCATACATTTCTCGAACGTTCTCTATTTGCTTTTTGGTATTTAAGTGTTCCGATTTTGACGTATCTATAATCGTAGATAAAAATAAGTACCAGATAAATATTAAAAAAATATCAAACATTTGCCAAACCTCTGTTGAGATTTATTTTCTGTACTGGTGACGGAACATAAGACTTTTCTCTCCAAACGCAGTCTTCGATGATGGGCGATCTGATTTTGGTTGCTTTTGCGCTGGCTAAAAACATTTTAATTTTTAATACACAGTCGAACGTCATTCACAAATAAGAATTCATAAAAAATGGTTTTTACTTGGCGGCATGTAGTGTAAAAACGATAAATCTAGTGTTCTGGACGATTGTCCGACACATTTTTTCTCAGATTTCGAAAGTAGTTTATTGTCTAGCTCAAACTGAAATGACACACAGAAATGTCCGGATAAGCTATTGGCAAACATAAAAGCGTAGCGTGACTTACAATTTCAACAGCGGCGTTTTCGTGTAAATAGCCACACGTCACGTCCCTGTGGTTTTCCACATACGCCAAAGGGTTGTTTTCTACATTTAAATATCTCAAAAACGCCATGTCTCCGACGGGCGACAACGACTCGTGATGCACAATCATGTTATTCGACAAATCCAATACCTTTAAATTGGTTAATTTCGATAGGCCTGCAAGAAAAAAAAACACAAAAAGTGTACAGGCAACGATACGACAGACTAGTGCGATTACAAACAAACCTGTTATGTTACTGATGCAATTGTAACTCAACACTAACACAGTCAAATTTCTGGCCGCGAAATCGCTCAAGACCGGCACTGCTGTCAGTCGATTAATGCTCAAGTTAAGACATTCCAAGCATTGGAGTTTTTCGATATTGTCGATTTCAGTCAACAGATTTCTTGACACTTCCAAATAGGCGAGACGAGGAGTGAGCATTAGGCATTCGTCCAACGAATCGAGACGGCCTCCTCTCAACACCAAGTTTTGGAGGTGCGGCCATTTCCTTTTCAGTAAAGTAGCCAAAGTGGTAACGGGACCGTTTATAATCAAACATTCTAGTTTGTCGTAGTTCAGCCCCAACAACCATTCTATGTTGATGTTGATTAGTTCTAAATAGATGAGATTGTGAAAAGACGAAATATCGATCGACTGTCTGAGATCCGAAACGTTAGCCGAGTGTAATAACTTGAGTTTAAGAGTCTTTTTCAATATTTCTGACAAATAATGGTGATTTAAAATATGATCCGTGTGCAGCGATGACAATACTTGCGTATTGATAGTGTTGAGCGTTTCAGTCTTGAGTATTAGTTTTTCTTGTCCGGTAACTAAATATTCTCCGTTACGCTTTACTTGTTGTATGATTTTATTTACTTCTTCCATTACTGAAAACGTAGAACTAACGTAACTTGTATAGAACAATAATATCACGATTACAGACAATCTCAAAGTAAATTGTTCCAATAATAAATATTGTTTTGTAACATGTTTCAATAACACAAAGAAATTATACAGAAAAAACATAATTTCTAAATGACTTATGAAAGTTGCTCTTAAACAATAATAAAAATTATAGATATTTTTCAAAATGTGTTCTTATCATGGACAATAGCTGTTATGCGAGCGTTTTTATGACATTTTTGTGATGTTCATAAGACAAAAATCTATTATTTAAACAAAATAAATCGCCACGCATACTTTATCAACGTTTTCTATAATAAGACATATTGATTTAGGACGATAAATAATGGCAAACCCACAATAAGAAATAGGTGTAGGGAAAAAAACAAAGAACTTTTAGGTGTACTCACATTCCAATCACAATTGTCATTTACAGAACGACGAAAGAGATTTCTGATTCTGAGATTTTTCTTGACGCAATGTAATAACATAACAAATTTCGTATTGACGACAATCGCTTTTTAATAAAAAAAAATATTATATTTACATTCAAGTAAATTAAAATTACACTAAAACTAAAACACATAAAAATATTTGAACAATTCCAATGATTCGACAACAATCGACCTTAATACTGACAATGATTGTAGCTGATAGTGATAACAGCTAATTGATTACAATAATATCATTATTGTTGTGAAAATGAAAGTGCAAAATTACAAATATTGATAAGATAACGGCACGGAATAAACTTTTGTGATAACAGCTTAAACTGATAAGAAACGTCGCCACTCGCCTTACCTATGCGAACAAAATTATTATTTACCCGCTCGTTTGATGTTGCCTGCAGTTGTAAAACAATAGAATATTATGCTTGCTGATCGATTATTGATATTTTTCTCTTTGGCCGTGTCTACCTAATCGTTTGTTCCACTAGATCAATATTTATATAGTTTGAAAATACAAAGCAATACCCAGTGTTGACGGGGAGGTCACAGGTTAAATGTAAACGTATACAGGTTTAAGTTTAAAGGCTATGGATTTCCATCACTATGATTTCAACCGTACAAGCTTATTTGACTGACGAGGTAGATATGAGACAATTATATATTGGTGGAATAATTTTAAAATTTGGAGGGACCACACACAAACCTCTTCAAATTCCACTTATGAATAATAAAGGATGAGTTTCTGAAGTATACACTACAGAAAGTGCTCTATAGGGCACTAGACTTGTCAAGCTGGTAAATTCTAAATCTGTAATTTATACCAATCAAAGTAATCCACATTTTTGCACAACCTAGGTTTCACAAATTACTTTCATTTCCTATTGAATAATTAACACTCAACTACTTATGTAATTCATGTTAATTTCCTATCCCTTTAAGACATTGACTTTTTATCCATGTATATCATTGATATTTAACATAAATATTGATACCATAAAACAAACATACTATTTCAAGACGAAACTGTCATTTAACTTTTTTTTTGGTCCCAGAAGACACCGATTTTAGTTTTATTTAATTATATTTACTTAGTGTATACCATACAAGAAAAATCAATAGAGTTCCTTTTTTGAATTAATTACCAACCTATAAATCTTGATTTAGGTTAACAGTAGTGTACAACTTTGTACAAACTACGGACCACTTATTCCTTTACACTAGTAACGTGTCACGGTGGTTAAATTTGTAATTAAATTTAAATATACAGTACCGCTTTTTCCACAATACACGTCATGAATATTCCAAGAATATTAAAATACTAATAAATAGATGCAAAGTACTGTATTTCTTACAATAAAAATTGTAATTATAAAGGAAATAATAATATAGTGAACTAATAGACAAAAGTTACAAGTATAATAAATAATTACATTTATTTTTCACAATATTTTTTTGTTTTTGTTGTAGAGAGAATTAAATAAAATTATAATTCTAATATCTTGTCTCCAAGACAACTTTGGATATCTGAGAATGTTTAAATAAATAAAACTTCCCATTATGTGTAAATAATTATCAAATAAATACATTTAATTTATATTCTCTTTCATTCAGTCAGTATAAAAATTATAAATCAAAAGCAGACATGCCATGATCGAGGAATGCTTTGAGCTGTATACAACTTACTGGAATGTGTACGCCTAATGCAACGGAGTTTTTTTTTATAATTTTGATTCTTATTAAAAAAAAAGGAATTAAAATAAAAAATACAAAGTTTATATAGGAAAATAAATATAAAAAAGTATTTAGAAGCACTTTCTGTGCACAATGGATGGGCCTGATTCGTCATACTCCTGTTTGGAGATCCACATCTGTTGGAAGGTAGACAGAGAAGCCAAGATAGATCCTCCAATCCATACGGAGTATTTACGTTCCGGCGGTGCAATGATCTTAATTTTCATCGTGGACGGAGCCAAAGCTGTGATTTCCTTTTGCATACGGTCGGCAATTCCTGGGTACATGGTGGTACCTCCAGACAAGACGGTGTTGGCGTACAAGTCCTTACGGATGTCAACATCGCACTTCATGATGGAATTGTAAGTGGTCTCATGGATACCACATGCTTCCATACCCAAGAATGAAGGTTGGAACAAAGCTTCTGGGCAACGGAATCTATTTGGAGAAAAAGCAAAACAAATTAGCAACAACGAAATAACAATAAAAAAAAAAACACAGACGAAAAATATTCGTTTACCTTTCGTTTCCGATGGTGATGACTTGTCCGTCAGGAAGTTCGTAAGATTTCTCCAACGAGCTGGATGAAGCCGCGGTGGCCATTTCTTGTTCAAAGTCCAAAGCGACATAGCACAATTTTTCCTTGATGTCACGCACAATTTCACGTTCGGCCGTGGTGGTGAAACTGTAACCACGTTCGGTCAAGATTTTCATCAGGTAGTCTGTGAGATCACGGCCGGCAAGATCCAAACGGAGGATGGCATGGGGTAAAGCGTATCCCTCGTAGATGGGCACGGTGTGGGAAACACCATCTCCTGAATCCAATACAATACCGGTGGTACGACCAGAAGCGTACAGTGACAGTACAGCTTGGATGGCGACATACATAGCCGGGGTGTTGAAAGTTTCAAACATGATCTATAAAAAAGAAAACCGTAAGTATATTCAAATGTTATTTGTAGAAAACAGAATTTTACAATTTATTAAGTATGTTTTCGGAGAAATATAGTGAGGCCGGTTTCACACCAGTATGTGCGATAAATGTAAAACTAGCATAAGGGTAGTTAGAAATGTGGTAGAAGATGTAACGTAACTTTATAATTATTATAAAAGAAATTAATTGAATATTGATCATAAATATTACTTGTGTCATCTTTTCACGGTTAGCCTTGGGGTTCAATGGGGCTTCGGTGAGGAGAACCGGGTGTTCTTCGGGGGCGACACGCAATTCATTGTAAAAAGTGTGATGCCAGATTTTCTCCATATCGTCCCAGTTTGTGACAATACCGTGTTCAATGGGGTATTTCAATGTGAGGATACCTCTTTTGGATTGGGCTTCGTCTCCGACGTAGCTGTCCTTTTGTCCCATACCGACCATGACACCCTGAGAAACAAGAAATTGTTTATTTTATTTGCTTAGAAACATAAACGACTAAATCAAAACTAATTTTTTACAATGGTAAAATTGTAATTACCTGATGACGAGGACGTCCAACAATGGAAGGGAACACAGCACGGGGTGCGTCATCTCCGGCGAAACCGGCTTTGCACATACCAGATCCATTGTCTACTACCAACGCGGCAACTTCTTCGTCACACATTTTGAGTTAGTTTATTGGAATGTAAAAATCTGCAAACAAAACATCATGCGTCATAAGTATCACACAAAAAATAAAAGGTAGTTTTTAATTATTAAAGGGTAGTAATAAACAGTTTTAATAGTGACAATTAATTAGAATAAAGACCTATATATTATATATATATACAGATTATAACCTATATATTTTAAGAGTAAATTGTTCATAATAATTAACTTATTTTTAAACAAAATGTTGTTTAATTCAAGAAAAAAAAATGACTCATTAAATAATTATTTAGTTTCTTAGATACGAAATGAAATAACGGCTTTAAATTATAACTATAATAATAATAATTGCTAGTAGTTAACAATATAAAGACAAGATGAAATGTTCAATTACTATATTTTAAGTAGTAAATATGTTCACGATATAATATTATAATAAGATAGTTTTATTAATTAGAAAAAAATTAATATCGTTGATAATTAATTTGATTACAGAGTTTTACTACGAATTCAATTTTAATCATTATGTTCTGATTAATGCCTAATCACACAAATTATTTGGTTTCCCTTATTCGAAAAATCATTAATAAAACTCAAAAGATATTTGACAGATACAATGCGACTGCCTACAGCTCGCTCGACAACACAATATTCCACATTAGTACAGTGACTTACGTTTAACTAAATAAATACTAAATTAGAGAAATAGAGTATAAAAAATTGACACTAAAAAGTGTAAGTATAAGTTTATAATGTAAAAGTACAAGATTGACGCAACTATATACTATGAACCGGAGACGCCGTTCAAATAAATCCGTTTGAATTCTTTTTGAAAAAAAAAAAAAAACTTGATTTGCATAAACTTTTGTTTTAAAAGAATAGCACCAAAATTATTTTGTTTCAGTATAAACCGTTTGGAAATTGCTGCATCTATTTATAATCCGAGATATTCCGTCAAAAGTGAAAAAAAAAACCGTCGATAACGAAACAACGGCCAGCAGCAGCTGATGTACACTATAATAATCCGCCGATTATGGGCCAATAACAAGTGACAACACAAATAAAATTCCACATACCGGAAATATCAATAGGAATATTCCACGAAAAAAATTCGTATGGCGTTTCTGCGGTAACTGCGGCGTGAAATCACCGGACGATTAGAATATAACGAACGATAAATTAAAAAAAAAAACTTAATTAATAAATAAATAAATATAAGGTTATATTTATAGTAAAAAAAAACCACACTCGTCGGTTGCGAACGACACGGTCGAGGAACAAACTGGTCGTGGCAATGCACGGGCACCGGTATAAGTAGCGGCTATTCCGCCGGTTCATGATGATGGTGCACTCCTTCCTTCCCCTACCCCGGGGTCCCCGCACTCCCCTACCCCGCGCCACGCCCGTCGTCGTCATCAACGTCTTCGTCATCGCACACCCCACCCCACCTCGCCACGCCATACCGGCGAAAACCGATAAACCCGCGGGGCTGCATCCATCATGGGAGCACAAAAAAAAAAACCGTATAAAAAACCCTAGCCGTCCGTGCGCGGTAATCACATTGCCACAAGGATTGGTGATCGGCGCAAGAGTCGTTGCCGAGATTTTAGATATTATAATATTGCAACACGAGTATGAAAAAAAAAAAACTGATAACGCTCGCAACCCTTTCGGGGAGCCGGTGCTGCCGCACTCGCGACGACGGCGTGGCTTGGGCGGGATGGGCTGGCCGAAATTTCGGCCGTTATAAAAACCTGAAACGCGCGTTACGATTATCGAAAGAAATTCGAAGGTGCCGCTAACCGTTTTTGGAGAAAAAAGACACGACGAGGGTGTCGGCCGCGGAAAAAGGGGCGTCGACCGGCGAAACGACAAGTGCCGGTCGAGCGGGGTTTTATTTTTGAGAATACGGCGACTCGGGGCCGCAATACTGTAGTTTCAAAGTAGATTACCAAAAAAAAAAAACGAGCGACAATAATAATATTAATAACAATATTTACCTGAAAAACGGCGGAGGTCCGTTTGAAGTGTGATGAGCGGCGGTTAGATGGGTGAGTAATGCGCGTACGCGGTGGCAGAGCGGTTACGGACGTTTTCGTAAAATGGCCGTGCGGTCCGGGGCCGGTGTGCATCCTGCCGGGCAAATCCATTCGGGTCATCGCCGGCCGGGGTGAGGGATGAACCGGGCACTTTGGGCGGGGGGCGCGGCGGCGCGCGTTGCGTCCGCGGTAGATGCGCAACACCGCTGCGACCGGATGGATTCGCCCGGCGCACCGCCACTTTCCGCCGGTCGCGCGGCATTGCCTTATATGGGCATAAAACGAACGGCACCACGCGATTGGCCGAGACCCGGCACCCGGCGACCGCGGCCGAGCGCTGCATTCCACACGGTATCAGCGGTGCACAACCGGAGAGACGTTAAAGGTTCCCCGCGCCCAACGGCCGGTCCACCGATGGACCCGCCGGTGGACCGGGGCGAGCGGGGCGGACCGCGCCGTGACGTGTCGTCTAGACGGTGGCCGGGGCGAAACGTGGTGTGTAACGTCCGAAATACAATATATGTATTGCTATACTTGCATCCAAATTTGCCGTTTCCTCCCCGGAGAAACCCCTGAACTTGCAAAAAAAAAAGAGAAAAATACCATCGAATTTCGCGTCAGTCCCCCTTCTTCTAATACCGTGTAAGGTTAGGATCACTTTTGAATTATGATAATAATAACGACGATTGAAAATGACTCGGAAAACGTGTTGCGAGTTGTCTAGTTTTGGCAACCGCAGCAGCGATAAGAACCTCGTCCCACATCTATGGCTAAACCGTCATTTTTGCCCACAGAATAAACTGCACATTTTGACTATCCACGTCATCACGTCTACGATTATATATATATTATTATATGTAGGTGACGTTCACAATGGAATGCTATTCGATGCATTTCGCAGAACGACACGTTTATTTCTTTTTCGTGTAATACTTTTTACAATATTATTCGAGTAGTACGCGTTTAGTTCGTTTAATACATATTATATCCTGTTATCATTTAACACATGACGAGAAAACCTCCAGAACGTTGTGTAGAGCACACATTTTGATTAATTTTTCAACAGAGCTCGATATTTACTCAGAAATCAAATGCATAAATCAATTATAATGGTTAATATACATATCTAACGATTGTTCAATTGTTGAAAACTTTCCGTACAAAAAATTTGATCTTTTAAAAACTCCTTATACAACAATATTGTTTGTAATGTACAGACGTACAGTGTACTAGCCAGGGGCACGACATACTTTTACTAAGTGACCATACAAGTATTAATATTTAACTCAATACTTTAAGGAAAATAATCATAAATTATCATGGTCAAGGTACCGATAAGTTAGTGGAATCTAAAATTAAAACTATCTTATGATTCATCAGCTATAATATTCAGTGGCTTGTGGCTCGTTTGAATTAGATATAATATTATGTCTAACTACTGTTTTGTTATTATGTGTACATATTATAATGTATATAGTATTTATCCGAAGTTTTGCGATAACTCGAGGAAAAAGTTTACTAGCTAAAATTCTGACCAATGGACAGGGGCTGTTCCTAAGCCTTGAAAATTGCAATTTATTAACAGAATATAGTAGTGAAAAAAAATCGTTAACCCTTCAGTGCCTAAAATGAGCATTAAGACTCATGTACGACTAAAACCGTTAGGTTTTGGTGAAAATTCGAATATTTTTGTCACATAATTCTTAATTTATACTTAAGAGGACGTCGTAGTACCGTCTATTTATTTAAATAAATTAGGTATAGGCATTTTTTTGCAAAATCTATTAAGATGTAAAGGTTAAACTGTGATGAATTACCTATTAGTTTAGTTTAGTACCATTGAAACTAATTTGAATTTCAAAGTGATTTTAGCGAAAATACTGAATGCAAAAATACATATTTTTTTAACTTTTTTAAATCTTGGTGACTTTTTTTCTCTGATATCTAATTATTGTGATTTATATTATGTTTTTTTTGGGGGGGAGGGGGTCATTGGCGTAGATCAGGGGGGCTTGGGATACTAAATAACTTAAAATTAGTGCTTTTCCAAATGTCTTACTTAATTTTTTTGTGAGAGATTTGTCGAAATAAAAATAAACGTAGCATTAATTTTGAGTTTGAAGGTTCTTATAGAATCCCAAGCCCTCTGATATTTGCCGACGGGGTGGTTGGGAGGCGGGATCCTTGAGGGTGAGGGGGGGAGGTGGAAAATCCCATGTTTAACACAATACAACAATAGTAATGTAAGATTTTATTATTATTTTTCCAACGCTATGGGTTGTTATCGGTGGTTCCTATTGTAATATGGTGTTGACTTTTGTGTGTGCGATTTTGGAAGTATTTTAATGCGGTGTACCGTCCGATTACACGACCAACAACTAATAACGATTTGGCAAGGGCAAAAGTCAACAAACCTTAACGATACAATAATATTATTATCACGGGGAAACGTATTTATTCATAGAAGTTCTGACTGGACTTTTTTTGTCGGATCTCGTTTTACCTGTTCCGCCGCAATAGCTTAATATTGACATTTTTCAAATGAAATCGACCGCGGTTACTAGGTATAGGTACAATTTTTACCTATATTTAATATTGTATACCTTGTTGTTAATTTTATGAACGTATTCAGCAAATGCTTACAACCTGCATTGCGACGTTTATTGCACGTCCGTCGATTGGGAATCGACCCGGTTTCGTTATAGTTTATGTGACACGATTTTACTTAAAAGAATAATAAATAATAATAATTGGACCTCTTTCGCTCACCAGGATAACATTAAATTACAATTAGTTTGGTGATGTTTTCAAATTTAAAAGAACAATGACGATTATTTTAGACAATATTTTATAACCAGAATTTTCGTTTTATACATTTATTCTCATAGTGTGTATAATTTTCTTTGGCTCATACTCATAAACACGATTAAATCGCAGATATATAAGCTTAAAAGTGTTAAATATGCGATTATAATATGCAATGTACGTTTGCTGGTCGTATTTGGGTATAATTTTGAATTCCCTAAAAAAATATGCAAAGTCATAGCTTACTGATAAGCAATAAGTTTTGTTGTATCACATGGTTGCTGCAGTAGTGAAAAAAATAAAAAAACATGTACTAGAAAAATATAATTTCGTCGTTCTGGTCTCACTGCAGATCGCCTATTCCCATACTTCTAACTTCATCAAGAACTTTTAACGCGGTTTATTGCCTAAAAAAGAGAAATTCTGTTAAGAGATCTATAAAATATATCTGTGGCCACTAGTCGAACAGTGTCGACTTTAAAATATGATATTTTTCATATAAAAAAAAGTCTCTTTTCCATTTACAAAATACTAATAAAACGTATTGTTATTAAAGTCGGTAAAGCGATTTTAAAACATCTTTTTGTTACTCGTTCCAAAAAAACCTTAAACTTTTTAGTTTTTCTAGCTGCTCCTTGGCTTTTTCAATAGTTTTTTGGAAAATGTCTTAAAAACTTTTACTGCACAACTATATCAATTCCTATCATCGATCATGCTATAATTTGGGTACCAATTATTTTTGCTAATGGATAAAAGTCCAAAGAAAAAGGTCACCTTTTTGGATTTGTTTCCAAGTAGACGCTTTGTGTGTAAACTGCATTTTGAATTTATCAGGTTTTTAAATACAATAGCAAGCATTAGTCCCTCACACACTCTTAAGTAGTATATTCTAATTTACAAGTTCAATTTGGCAATATATACTAGTCTAGTAGTTACTAGTTTACTGACCAGTTTTAAAATACCCAGTACATATTTTCTGTATACATAATTGGTTAGCCTATGCTTTCTCAAACATTAACCGAATTTTTAATGGTTTTTGTTAATGAATTACTAACACTCATTCACACTAACAAGCTTAGTGAAATCTAATTAGTCAAAAATGAAAATCACAAGACACGCATTCTGTGTGTTGTTATTATTTTTTAAGCAAACTAATCCGTTTTTTTTTTTTTTTTTGTATAACCAAGTTAATTTATTTACATACACGAGTAATGCGCATAAAGTCATTGAATCGAAAATAATTACACTGCAGATAAAATATATTATACAATGTCCTTAATTTCATTTCACGTGTTCATTCAATAACGTGTACATACATGTGTATTAGCTATAAATAATAAATATATTATTGTATTAATTAAACTTTATTTAGTACTCGAAAATCTCCTCTCGGCCAATTGCAAGCGTATTGTGACTGTATTTATCAAAAACTA